CTGTTGATTAGCTCCAAAAAGCCCTAATCAGTCACTGTTCTGTCTGCTGTCCCAGGGAAATTGGAGACACATACAGACACCTCTCGGCATTAGCTAGCATATCACATGCCTCGTATCCATGGGGCAGGGGTCTGTGCTGTGGGAGATGGGAGGGAGAGAGTGGGGGATTCCTGCTTAAGCAGTGAGCAGTGAGGGGGGGGGGGGGTTAGGGCAGGCGGAAGCCAAGCAGACCCTGCTGTTGTCTGCAGTCTCTGCCAGAGCTCCAGCCATGGAGCAAAGGGGAGGAACCAACTCTGCTATGGAGCAGAGAACCCTGCCCAGCTCAGAGAGCATGCCGGGATGCCAGGGGAGTCTGGTGCATCTTAAACCAGCAAGGGGCCTGGGACAGACATTGCGTAAACTGGTTTGAGCCAAATCAGGTAAGTTTGATATACTACATTCAATCAGGTTTATTTCAAACCGGTTTCACCCATTTTCAAACTAGTTTATGTCCACTGAACATCTGTTCCGTTACAGGTTTAAACCAGTTTCTGACACTTAAACCAGTTTATTTGTAACGTGTGTCCCTGGGCCAGGTCTTTGTGACCTGGCTGCACTGCAGTTCACCACTCCTTCCAGTAGGAGAGGAAGGGGTGGATAGAGGGGAGAGAGATGATTATTACCAGTGTCAGAGAAGGAGAGGAAGAGAGCAGGGCAAGGAGGTTTGTGGAGGGGATGAGCAAGCAGCACAGGACAGGGAAGGGGATACAACAAGCTGAGCTGCTTGACACTGACCCCCAATCCTCCAGGCTGGATCCATTCACTTTGGGGGTCAGATCCAGCCCAGAGGCTGTAGGTTGAACAGAATTGACTTAGACCATTGGCCCAAGGGAGATAATTGATGTCATGGTGAAACTGACAGCACCAAAAATTTCCTTTCATCAAGAACTGAAAGAAGCCATGGACACTAAGAAAACTGCAGCTCTTAATACTTTTAGCTTTTGAGAGACTTCCTGCAAACCCACTGGCTTTGCAACTGGTTTGCATTGAAGAGTTTGGGTCCATATCTCACTTGCACTAATGTGTTCCCCTTTATGCAGCTCTAATAATAGAAAGGGCCCTTAAATAACGGAGCCTGTTTTTTGCCCTGCACCTTATTCAGTCACTGGTGCCAGGTGGATATGAATTAGTTCAATGCCAACTGGGAACTTTTTGTTTTAACCCATTTGGCACTCGTGTTAACAACAGCAGGGACAGCAGAACCATCCCCACTGTGTAAAGTGCTCTTGGAGAGTCAGGCCCCATGATTCCCCTTTACCTTTTAAATGCATAGCCCAGTTGCTGCCTTAATACAATTTGTTGCATTTCATTCTTAGTTCTGCAAAGCCTTTGTGCACTGTTATCTCCAAAATCTGACACTGCACTAAAGGCTGCTGGAATTTTCCTTCCAAAGGAGAGCAGGTTTTGGCTGTACAACTGCAATAATGCAGGATTAAATCCTTTCTAAGCTTAGCTTGTTATGCAGTCCACTATCCAGAGTGATACAAGCCACATGAGACCAAAATGGTAATTAGCAGAGTCGGTCCCGAGTTCCATTACAAATGCTGTCTTCAGCTGTCCTTTCAACTGCTCTTCTAGGAAAAATTCAAGTGGTTTTTTTTTAATTTTTAAACATTTCTTTCCATCTCTCCAAGGAAAAGAGGCTTATGTTGGAGCACTGGACTCAATTCTGACTGAAATGGGAATCCACTTGACAAACAAGGAGCTCCAAGAGGCACTGAAACATGTGACAGTAGATGGTGAGCTTTGCAGGGCATGCAATGCTGGGCCAAAGAGCCAAATGGGAACCAGATTTCCCAATGTGGCAAATGCTGGATCCAGGTGGCCCACAAACATTGGGCTTTGGCTGCATTTGGCAATGAGAGCTTTGCCTGTGCTGTGGCTGGGGAAAGAGCTGGTGGCCAGGTCCTAATGCCCACCACTAACCCAAGCTGGGTCATTCCAGCCCACTGCTTCAACAAGGTTGCCAGTAACTGGCCTAGGGGACCAAGATTGCACATTTTCAGTTTGGAGTCACAAAGGTACTCTGTTCCAGTGTCATCATTTTGATTTGTTTCATTTTGATTTGCATGATGTAAGGACACACAGAAGTGTTTTAGTATTATATAAATGGCAAAGTGACAGGAACCAAAATGTTTCAGTATTGCCAAAAGAAAGATCCGTGCTCTACTTTGTATCTCCTGTCATGGTGTCCCATATGGTAACTGGTGAAGACGTGAAATTGTCTCTATCCATGAGCCGTTTACAGGGCCTGATCACCTACTGAAATGGACGTATGAACAGCGCGCTGGGATTTAGAAACACTTTCTCCAGCTCTGATTATCCTGGCGAAGAGTGAGAAAAGTCATAGGCTCCATCAAGCTGCTATGTATAAAGAGTTGCTATTAGTCACTCCAACTCTCCGCATTCCACATTGGCTAACCTGGCCTGGGCTGCCTAGTGTTTCATTGACATCCTGGCCTGAATCAGGTGGTCTGAAAGAGGCTGGTGGACAATGTTGTATGAAAATGTTAATGTCCATTTCTAAAATTAATAGGCCCAGTCCATAGCAGAGGTAGATTGGAGTAGGTCTGCTCATATCCCTAGAGTTACTCAGAGGTTCACAATGTGTAAACCTAGCCCATGACTGATCTTCAGGGGCTACCCTTAAGGTGTAATCAATGGTGTACTCAGCCTACCTGCTACTCAGAGCCAGTTACTATCTTTCTGCCTGACCAGCACTTTAACTCTGCAGAAAATGGGAAGGTGAAGGTGAGCGACTTTCTGGAGAGCATGATCAGTACACGGAGAGCTTCCCTGGCTGATAGTGAGTAAAGGCCTTGCCATGAGATTGGGTAAAACATGTTATAATGACACTAAGCTCTAATTTATTTCTCTGCAGGGAACGTGTGTACATGCCACAATTCTGCAGCATGGCTTTGCAAGCACCTATAAACCCAGCTAATCCAGAAGGGCCATTCCCCACCTAAGAGGCTTATGACTTGCTACAGCTTGAATGTTAATGGATCTGGCCCTTTAGCTATAATAGATCCAGATGACCCACGTTCCTCTTCTAGGGATCATCTTTAGAACATGGGGTACTGCCTGATTATTATTCAGGTTATTTTTATTTAAGATATCTTGGCCATTTATTTCACAAAAGGAAAACTGCTCCAGTGCAGAGGCACCCAGAACAAAGTCCAGGCAACATTGCTAACCAGCTGGAACTCTCCAAATAACATGAAAGGGAGTCCTTGGGCTGTCTGCACTGGAAAAGACTGCACCCAAACTGAATAAACATTATGAGGTGAGGCCCCATGACAAAACAGTCAAGAACATGTATTTGGTCCATTGCTCAGTAAATCCACTATGCAGCACAGAGGTCATGTCTATTGGCTGACCACTCAGGCCTATGTATCAGTTCAGGGTCAAGAGGGGTGTTTTCCAGTTCAGGCAGCCCTCACTAAGATCTTAGAGTTTAATCATTTGTTCCATCCATTGAAGGGGACAAGGTACACGTAAGTCACCTGGAGTCCATTCTGGGCAGAATGGAGGTCTTCCTAAGTGAGCAGGAGTTCCAGGAAGCATTGAAGCACACCAACGTAGGTGGTGAGTATCATAGATACCTCTGGAGGTACGCACACTCCTGTACAGTTATTGGTTTCAAGAGGAGAACCCGGGTAAGTCTTTATGATAGAATCTTGCTGTACCCAAACCAAGGACCTGTTTGAACAAGATCCTATCTCTGACCACCACACTCTGCCCTCTGGCTGTGGCACTTATGTCCGTTCTGTGGCACCATCAACCTGGTTTTCCTTTGTGTGCCAGATAGATCTGCTGCATTGAGGAGTAATTCACAAAGCTCTTGCATGTTGCTTAATTACAAATATTCACTGCAGACGGTGGGGCAGGA